AAGCACGGAGGTGGAGCATCATGATGTGGGGCTGCATGAGTGGAAAAGGTGGAAAACGACCACAAAAAGACATAAAAATCCCCCCAAAATATGCAAAGTGACCCCAAAGAGGCAACAGAATGAGCTCAAAGAGACGCAAAATGACCACATGGTTGGTGTGAACCTGACCAGGACCACCAGTGGATGAGAGACAGTGAAGAACGGAGGAGGGATGGAAGGAGAAGAATGTTCCAGCCATGATTTGAAGTCAGCAGAAGATAATAGAATCAAAGAGGAACGGTGGAGCAACACAACCTCTCAAACACAGACTCCACGCTGAGGAGGATTAAGGCTGTGGTATTGAACAAAAATGTCTGGTTTCTGCTGCGCTGAGCTCCTCCTGTGGAGCCTGGAGCTGATGTTCCATCCTGGAGGTGATGTTCCATCCTGGAGCTGATGTTCCATCCTGGAGGTGATGTTCCATCCTGGAGGTGACGGCTGCTGCTCCACACTGCAGCCGTCCATCAGTGATCTGCGGTACGAGTGTGTCGCTGCAGGATCTTAAAGGGTTAACTCGATCTGGATCCTCGCCGCCGTCTGAACCAGCGAGCTACCGTGCTGGACGCCGGTCGGCCGATCTGAGCGTCTGAGGCAGATAACAAAGTCAAATAATCTGCCTCAGAACGCTCCATCAATTAAAACGGGCCTGGGAGGCGTCTGCAGACCCTCGGCGACCTCTCCTTCACTCGCCTTTTACGTAACCTCGGACGACTCGACTGCCACGAGTCTGCCTGGTGGTCGGCCCACTCGGCTGCACGTACACGACGGCGGCGGCGGCTCCGTAAACAGAGCTGCCTCGTTAATTCAGGTCTAAATTTAACAAGGCGTCTGGGGAGCCGAGCGGGGAGGCAGCGAGCAGCCCAACATGATGAGGCATTATCGCAGCGAGCTCACCTGCTGTCACACGACGCCGTCGCCGACTTACAGCCTCGCCGTCCTCGCGTGGCGGCAGGAGGCCTGAGCGGCCGGGTTTAAACCAACGACGCAGCGAGCGCGTGTTTAATTACCAACCAGAAGCGAGAAACCCAATTAAAGGCAAAGGAAAACGCTGAATGCACGTTTCTTTGGCAGAAAATAGCCTGAATTTAAAGCAACACGCGTGAACTTTGCAGCTCGTTTCTGGGAATGCGTCGGCTTCTTGTGACTCGGACGAACTTCAGATTTGAGGAGTGAATAATGAATGTGAGCTCAGACACCTGGAGGAGGGGCAGCGTTTTAAAATATTCAGCAAATCCAGCCGTCGACAAGAAGCCTCAAAACGCATGATGTTAAAATAAATAAATACAATTAAAAAATCGCCCAAATGACACCGTTTATCAGAGCCAGAAACTGTAAAAGCTGAAAAAATGGTCGGATTTTCACCTTGTTCACGGTGTTTGAACAACTCCTGTGTGACGTGTGGTTGCTTCAGAAAAATTCACTAAATGTGAGCATAAAATCATAATATGACATAAAAATCACTGCATTCAGCACGTCTCCTTCGTTTCTATTCATCAAAATCTGTAAAAAACAAACAAACAAACAAACAAAAAAAACAACAACAACAAAAAAACCTACAAATTGTGCAGCCTTTAATCAACGAGTACAACTGAAAAGAAAAAATAAAATAAAAAAATCACAATAACGTTTCATTATGTGGATGAATTTAACCCCAAACCTGC